GCAGGATACAGGTGTCATATAAAAATTCATTTAAGATTTGAGCTAAATTGTTTCCAAACAGGATGTCTCTTGTGACTCTCTCTTTTAAAAATGCTTAACTTTCCAGTTCAGGGCCACTTGTTTTGATTCTGAAATGGGGAAGGGTCTGTATACAAGTGGTTCAGCTATTTAAATTCCAAATTTATACTTTGGATGCTTGAATTCCTATACTGTTGTTCACAAACTCACCTCAAGATGCAGAAAGATTTACTGACACAAGCAAACATCAGGATTAAATGTCAGTGCCCCTGAAATGAAAGAATAATAGTGAAAAGGAGGGAAAAATCACAAACACCATGTGTTATGATGCCCACCTCTTTTCCACAGCATTAAAGAGGCAGAAACAGGAGAATGGTCATGTATGCAAGACAGTCTAACCTACATGGTGAATGAAAGGCCAGCCAGAACTACAAGGTGAGACTATGTCTTTAAAAACAAAAATAAAAATGAAAAATGTAAAAACCCAAAGGATAGAGAAAGAGTATTAAAGGAAAACAAAAACAATAGAGCTGAATGAAAGCTGACCTAAATTGGCAATTATGGAATGGTGTTGCAGAGGAAAGCTGGCAATGTAGTAGCATCTGGGCAGCAGTGACAAATACAGAGTTAGAAATGGTGTCTATGGTGCTACAGCACAACAGTGACCTCCTTCCACCAATAAATCTGCAATTTGCTAGAATGAAGAGGTCCAAAACTCATGGAAATCTTAAACTCAGAGCAAGCAAGTAACTTCACACAAAGGCTTTGGAACATGGCCTTTAGCAGATATTTCATATTCAAATTGAAATAGGACAAATATAATCCTGCCTTGTTTGATGTCAAATGCAACATGTTGGTTGACTCACAACATTGAGGAATGAAGTCACAAAACCAAAGAAGTTCAGAAAGTTTTCTGGGAAAAAAGAGAGAAGAATAGCCCTGGATTTTCAGGAATGTTCTTCAGTGTTTAAGGCACAGACCTATTGTCAGGGGTCATTTTTACAGGAAATTCACAATGCAGGTACAGTGTGGGTCTCAAACTACAATCAACCTATAAACTTGTAGTGGCTTAAAAATACTCAACCCTTGGAAGAAGTCACACAGAAGGACTATGTTCAAAGAGCCAAGGCATTTTGTGGGAACAATAGTCCAGTTGTTCTGGTCATTGCGTATGGTAATTGATGCCTATCTGGACCTCCTGGAGGAGGTGGTGGTAACTTTAGTACATTTCAAGCTGTTGTTTTTCTCTCCAGGAGGCATGTAGACATGGTCACTGCATCTTCACCTTCTGGCTTTCTTCAGTTGTGTCTCTAGCAGGGATTGTTGTGTTTAGGTTTTTACATTGACTCCTTTGAGTTTCCATTTCCTCTCTGACTGTACATCAATTCCTCTCTATTTTGACCTCCTCTAGTAAAATAACAATACTACTTGAATGGATAAAGTAATGTTTATACATTTAATAAAATATTAATTAGTGGGGGCATGGGATTTAGCTCAGCAGGCAGAAGCACTTCCCGGAGAAGTGCTAGGTTGTGAGTTTGATCCCTGGTACCTAAAAAAAAAAAAAAAAAAAAAGAGTTTTAAACTGCAATGAAAGAAAATAATTTCATTGAAGATGTAGATTAACAAGATTTTTAATTAAATATGTCAATGGCAATTTGCTTCACTCTATCAGTGTCAATGCAGTGAATTTAATCCTAAAATAATAATAAATCTTCATACAAGTTTCAAAACAGAATTATGCATCAAAATATATATAACCAAGGTCTTAGAGGCCTACAGACAGCTTTCCATAATATAATAGAAGCCTTCTAGAAACTGAAAAAAAACACAGTTTATCTAATTAAAAATTGTTTAAGCAGCCAATAATGTAGAAATTTTTTCTGAACAATTATAGGTGAACCTTCTCTTTTGTAAGATATAACCTAGTGCCATGGCAAAGTGTATGTCTTGCTAAATAATACAATCAAAGCAATTATTTTACACTTACAATGACTGTTGTATACAATTTTAGATTGCCAGGACTATAATCACTGCGAGTTGTATTAATCACTTGAAACTGCAGGAAAAGGAAAATTTTCAGACATTATAAAAGTATAGTCATGTTAATTTGGCTCATGTTAATGGTATAGGGGAATGAAACTCCTTACCTACTATATATCCGGTATGAGTTTTTGTTCTCTAAAATTGAAGAATGAATTTTAGGAATGATGGAGTTTAAGAGTGGAATATATTTATTCAGAGAAGGAAAGCTTTTGTCTGAGAGACAGGAAAGGTCTGAGTGGGTTGCTAAATAGTCTGTCTTTTTGAGAAACTTGTATAGAGTTAAATCATGGGGTTAGATGGGTCCAGGGGAGGGGAAAAATGGGAATCTGAAAGTTAAGCATAAGGCGGGATAGAAATCTGGTCAACCAATAAGGTTAATTGCTCGGGTAAAATTGATTAAATTGGGAGCAAATGGGAGAGCAAGTCATAGTAAGTGGGCAGGTTTAAGAGCAGAGACTCTTCTTTTAGAGTGTTGGGATGGGGGCTCTTGATTTCCTCAGGGTGATCAGAGAACTATTTGGACTGTTGGTCCTTAGCACTTGGTTGTATTTAATTTACCTTTTGTTTTGAGATTTGGCCCACAGCAGGAGGTGATTGTCTCTTCCAATCAGGCAAGCAATCTGAACTTATTTTCTGGCTCCTTTGAGGGGCAAGCCTTGTTACAGGCAGCTGAGTTAGTTAGAAATATATAGCCAGGGAGACAGTCTCAGGTCCTAGAAGGCCAGCTAAGAAGTCCAGATACCTTGCAGCTATGGGGAGACAGATACCCCCTGTTATGGGACAGGCCCCAAGAGAAAATACCAGGCAAATTCATCCATATCCATATTGTAGCAAATAAAATGTACTTAATGGATGTAGTGAAATATCCAATAAAATTGAAAAAAATATTATCACAGTTTCTCTGTCATCACCAGTCATTTTCATCTTTCAACTATGTGGGGAAAAATAAGAGTAGCTCTTAGCAAATAGCAATGGTACAGTGCACAGTGTATTATTACACAGTGTATCCTGGATTAATTAATGCCCACTGCATTAATTTCCATTGGATACTCATGGCATTGAGCATGTGAATTATTGAGGAAGTAGATTAGCTTCATACATAGACAAGAATCAGTACTGCTAGGATTTTGTGGCCCAATAGAGAAGCCCAATGATAGGATTATTTCCAAAAGATGAAAAATATTTCCAAAAGATGAGAAGTATAAAACAAAAACAGGCCTTTATTCTGAGAACATGGAGAGAGATGACTGGCAACCCCCACTGCTGGAGTCCAGTGATCTCTCTGGCAGATACGTGGGATGAGGGTGTGTAAGTAGCCTTGGTTTGGGATGGAACCTAAAGAGGGAATTAGGGATGCACAGGTAGACCACTGGTCTTAGGTTTGGTGCCATAGGTAAATTCCCAGGGGTGGGAAGATGATGTCACAGGTAAATTCCTAGGAGTGGGGGAGATAGGGTCTTCCTGCTTCTGGTTGAGGCTTTCCTGGCTACAGAGTCCTGTCTGGGCCAAAACCCTTTCACAGAATATAAGAAAAAGTAGCAGTGTCCTTTCTATTTAAAGAATGTGGAGAGGAGCCTAAAGCCACCAAGTGTTTGCCTTTTTTCCTGAGGGATCATGTGATTATAGTGTATATAAGAAATTTGGTGGTGCTGGCACTGACATTGATATCATGAAAGGAGCCGATTGGAATTTTTTTTGGCCCCTGGGAAAGGAATGAGGAAGTTGTATTCAGGGAAAAAAGAGGAAGTAGCCATATGGGTAAGCATCCCTGATTTGACCTTTCACCCTGATGAACTACCACCATGATGTCTTGTAATTTATTCTAGGGCAAAACTCTTTAAAGTACATCCTTAAGTTTAAATTAAGAAATGAAAATAAAGAATTTTTGCTATTTATCTTCTCACATTGTTAGTGGTAAACAATTCATAAGGAAAATTTCCAGTCATTTCCTTAATGTACTGTAGATAGCATAAACAAAACTACAGATCCTTTCACTTTCAGAAAACAGAAGCAGCACTAAAAGGCAGGGATAAAGCCCTTCAATGCAAATGTCCCTTAAGAGGTGAGATCAACATTTAATAATACAATCATCTAATGATTTCTCTGACTTCAAAAAGAGAAAAATTTACACTGTTTTTATAGAGTATAATCATGTGGTTAGATGGTTTGAAGGGTGGGAAAACTGGGAAATCACAATGCAGATGGGCATAAGATGGGACAGAGCTATGGTAGCCAATAAGATTAATAGTGCAGGTAAAGTTGATTAAATTGAGAACAAAAGGGGGAAGGGAGTCACATAGAAAGCAGGCATTGTTAGGCAGCAGTGAATCTTGCCTTAGAGCTTTGGGAGGGTGACTACTGAGGTCATCAGGATGATAGGAACTATTTAGAATGTCAGTCTTTATAAAGATACATTTCTTTGAATGGTGACTCCTGACTTCCTCAGACTGCTAGGAAACTATTTAGAATATCAGGCTGTAGGATATGGATGAATTTGTTGATCTTCTGTCTTGAGGCTTAGCCCATAGCAGGAGTTTACCATCTTCTCCATAGTTGCAAGGTATCTGGGTTTCTGGATGGGCTCCTCAGAGGACCCAGCCCTGTCTCATTGCTAATCATAATTAACTAACTCAGCTGCACATAACAGTACTTTTAGGAAAATTGAATACAGATGTCTTGTGCTCTGGGTGAATGATCCGGGATGACAGTGTGCAACATATATACCAGTGTTGCCCCCTGATTCACTTGTTTTGAAATTTAGTTTTAGTTAATTTTTTCTTTTTATCTTTGAAATGAAATGGATTTGGAAATGAAAAGCCTGAGGTAAGGCACTTTTGTATACATATTCCTCTGTGTAGCTGAGATCAACACTGTTGAAGTCAACCAGCTTCAGAAGTCTCTGACTACTGTCTATCATTTGGGATCCTCTCTTGCAGGAAGGAGTTCCTTTCCCTGTTTATTTTTGACTCAGAAAGAATACAGTACAGCAGCAGTCAATCAGTGATGAAGAGGCGGGCTATATGAAATGTCCAATCAGGTGAGCCGTTGAAGGAAGTCTCTTCCTGCGTGTAGACATTGTTTACCTGTTTGGAACACAAAACTTGGAGCAGAATGCTTGCTGGATCTCATTTACTGGTTTCGAAGTCCTGTGGCCTGATTAGCAAAGCATCTGGGAGACCCTCTAGCCACGGAATGGTGAGGCTTTGATGGGAGCCCAGAAATAGGGTGGAATTGGGAGAAACCAGTTATAAGTGATTAGAAGCAGTTCTGGTGTCTATCGACACAGGTATTTAGTTAGCTTCAGCTCCTGAGGTCTTCTAGCATTGGCCTTGGGTCGTCCACTTTCCCTTTTTCCTCCTGGTGGGAACAAGGATGATTCTGTGTCCCCAGAACCCTGAATTAACTATGATAGCACCAGACTGGATCATCATCTTTGAAAATCTCTACTGCCCTGGCACCTCCACCATAGGGAGTAGAGGAAGGAGCTTGGGAAGCCCCTGACTCTGATGCATTTTGTAGCTGGAGCAGCAGTACTGAGCTTGGTCTCTGCTCTCATTCCAGGAATCAGCAATCTTGATGTTCTAAAGTTTATAAATGTATGTAATGTAATGCGGGGCCTCATATCCACAACGGATCTCCTAAACCTGTACATTTTTGTATTTATAGGGATTGCCTAAATTTATGGTATGTTCTCACATTTCCAACCTCATGAGAGGTGTTGGCAAAATCATGAGAATTCAGAGATGTGTAGTGATGTGCCTCAGTGGAGGAAGGCTTTCCAAATACCTGGTGAACTCCTGTGTATTATAAATAACAGTGCAAAGAATTTCTGAATGTACTTCATGTGACACATGTGTTCATAGACTATGTTTGTGAGAACAGACATAGAGGTCTGAATTTTGAGAAAAAAAAGCAGATATAAAAGTGTCATCAAGAGCAGGGTAAAGTGTGCTTGCTAAGGACAAATTTCAGAAAGGGGTGCCTGTTAAATTCTCACTGAAAAATGCCTAAATATATTCATTTGCATGAACATATAAATATGTGATATAATTCTGAATGGAAAAGAATATGGGTGTTATCTCTTAATTAAGAGCTAATTTAATAGCTTGGTTGATCATATACATTGTTTAAATATGAAAATGCTCTGCAATGGACTTTACTAATTTGTGTAAAGGAGATGCCCTAAATTGAAATTGTGCAGGGATATCAATAGTTTAGGCATGAAGGGTTTTCTGCTTAGGGTGGATCAGACGAGCATGGAAAGGGTGTGGAAGTGACCAGCAGGACACAGTGTGCAAATAGCAGGACATACAACAGAGAGGTCTTCACTGAACGTCAGGTAGTTCTTAGGGTAAGCATGCAGTTAAAGTTGAATTATGATATCTTCCTTGAGGTGAATAACACCAGGTCTGCTAACAATCAGTATTCCACAATCCTGTCAACCCACGAATGCTCTGTTCTTCACTTGAGATCTAGTTTTGATTATCTCAAATTATGACCCAGAATCATGAAGGTGAAATTTGAATTTTTTTTTGTACCAAGGATCGAACTCATGACCTCAAGCTTGCAAGATATGTTTTCATGCTGCTAGCTAAATACCCAGCTCTGAAAGTGTTTTCTGTATATTATGGATGATATCAACCTTGTTCCTCAGAAAATGTTGAATATTGTGGAATTTTTCTATATTGTATGGCTATAATTTTTAAAGCAAACCAAAGCTGTCTTATGCAGTCACTTTTCAAGTTTCACATTGTCTGTGGCATGTCCTAGTCAGGGTTTCTCTATTTCAGACAACTCTGTAACTTAGGTTATCCCCACACTCAAGGAAGTTCTCCTGCATCAGCCTCGCAAGATATATTTCTTATATCTGAATGGAAAGTGATCACTTGGTGACACTGAGCTATAATTTGAAGCTTGCACCTGGTTTCATTGTTTATAAGTTTTTTGTATACAGAAGTTTTTGATGAACATTTGAGTTATTATTTTTGTACCATATTTGATGTTATTTATGTTTTGTTCTGTGAAACCAAATTCAAATATCAAAATGCTGCTTAAGTGTATTAAGAACAAAGGACTCACTGGCCTAATTGAAATTTGAAGAGATATCATTTGTGGTACATCAAAGTGATTGGTGAGATATTTGTCTGCCTCTGTGCTTTATGGATGCTGGTCTTGCAGACTCTCACTATGAGCTCTGTATTAGAGACAGTGCACAGCGACTCTTGCAGTGACTCAGCATAATTATCAGTGCTTCTATTTGGCTGTTACATTAGCTGTGAGTTGCAATATAGCATCAAATTTGCTGTCTCAAAAAATTTGTGTATATACAAGAAATTAATCCCCAATATATGGAATTAAGTTTTGAAGAAATCAGTCTCCATTCAGCTGTTTTGTTTGGTTTTATTTGTTTACTTTAGTTTTGTTTGTTGAGACAGGTTTTCCCTATGTATATCAGCTAGATTTGAACCACTTTTGCAGTGCAGAATAGCCCTAACCTCAAAGCATCACTCCTCTCTCAGCCTCTTGAGTGCTAGGATTTTAGATATGTGTGTTTTTACCCTAGAAAATATTAAGGCTTGTAACTTAGCTGTGTTGTAGCTTGGCATAATGGATGCCATCTGGAGCTTTGCATTTAACTAGTGCCCTGTATTTCACCCAGAAAAATGGAAAGTCACTCAGGGTAGAAGTCCCAGGAGAAAAGCAAAATGATCTGTACACAAAGAAAAAAATTAACCTGCTCAACAAAAGAAGCAGAATACATTTGTCATCCAAAAATTTTTATAAGATTCTAGCTAAATGATTTCCAACAGGATCTTTTTGTGATTCTATCTTTTAAAACATCTCTAACTTTCCAGTTCAAAGCCTCTTGTTTAGATCTTGAAATGCGGGTGGGAGTTCTGTATACAAGTGGTCCTTAGATCAGCTTATGAAATTCCACATTTCTCAATTGGGTTCAAAATCATGTGGTGAGATAGTTTTAAAGTGGGTTAGATTACTGAGATTACTAAGGAGATAAATTAGCACAGTAGAGAAACAGAATATTAGAAATGTAAAACTGGCCTTTTATTTAAAGAATGTGGAGAGGAGCCCACAACCACAAAGGGTTTGGCTTTGTTTTTTCTGACTATAGGGTTATGGGGTATATGTGACTTTTGACTGTATGCTTGGAGGGGACATTGATGTCATGCCAGGAGCTGATGGGAATTTTATTTAGGCCCCTGGGAAAGAAAGAGGAAGTTGTAATCAAGGAAAAACCAGGACATGGCCATAATGGTAAGCATCCCTGATTTCACCTTCTTCCACCTTGAACTACCACCATGAGGTTCTGTAATTGTTTCCAGGGCAAAACTCTTTCAAATACATCCTTAGGTTTGAAGGAAGAAATCAAAACAAATAATTTTTGCTATATGTCTTCCTCCATGGCTGGTGCCAACCCATTCATAAGAAATATTTTGAGTCAATTCCTTAATGCATTGTCAATACCATAACCAAAATTACAGATCAGTTCATTTTCAGAAAAAGAAGTAGCCTTAAAGGCAGGGATAAAGGCCTTCAATGCTAGTATCCCTGGCAAGGTGAGATCAACATTGTGTGATACAAACTACTACTGATTTTTCTGACTTCAAGAAAGAGAAAAGTTTATACTGATATTGCTATAATGGAATGAATGTCCCGGTATACTATGTCTGATATGAGGTTTCTGTCATGTAAAGTCAAAGAATGAACTTTAGGAACAACAGAGATTAAGAGAAGAATAAACTTATTGAGAGAAAAAAAGCTGCCTGAGAGAGAGAAGGGGTCCTGAGCAGGTTGTCAAACACTGTCCTTTCTAGGGACCTTTATAGAGTAAAATCATGGGATGAAATGAGTTTAAGGTGGAGAAACCTAGGAACTCACAATGCAGATGGGCATAAATGAGACAGAGCTATGGTAGCCAATAAGATTATAAGTTCAGGTAAAGTTGATTAAATTGGAAACAAAGAGAGAAGGGAGTCACATAGAAAGCAGGCATTCTTAGGGGAAAGTGAATCTTCCCTTAGGGGTTTGGGAAGGTGACTACTGAAGTCATCAGGATGACAGGAACTATTTAGAATGTCAGTCCTTAGGATAAGGATACATTTCTTTGAATGGTGACTTCTGACTTCCTCAGAGTGCTAGGGAACTGTTTAGATTATCAATCCTTAGGATATGGATGAATTTGCTTATCATTTGTCTTCAGACTTGGCCCATAGCATGAGGTGTCAGTCTTCCCCATAGTGGCAAGGTATCTGGACTCCTGCATGGGCTCCTTGGAGGACCTAGCCATGTCTCATGCCAATATTATTTAAATAACTCAGGTCCCTATAACAGTACTGTTTGGAAATTGATTACAGCTGTCTTGGGCTCTGGGTGAATGATCTGGGGATGTCAATGTGCAATGTATATACCAGTGTTGCCTCCTGATTGACATGTTTTGAAATTTAATTTTAGTTGATGTATTCTATTTTCACTGAAATAAAATGGATTTGAAAATTAAAAGCCTGAGGTAAAGCTCTTCAGTACAAACACTCCTCTGTCAAGCTGAGTTCACCACTGTAGAAGAATGGCAGCTCCAGAAGTCTCTGCACTACAGTCTATCATTTTGGATCCTCTCTTGCTGGGAGGGGTTCCTTTCCCTGTTTATTCTTGTCTCAGAAGGAGGGCAGTACAGCAGGAGTCAATCAGTGATGAAGGTGCAGGCTATATGAACTGTCCAATCAGGTGGGCCATTGCTGGCTGTGACTTCTGTCTCTTTGGATGTCTCATCATGATTTACCTGTTCTGAGTACAATACTGGTAGCAAAACGCTTGCTGGATCTCATTTAGTACATTCAATGTCCTGTGGCCTGATTAGCAAAGAACCCAGGAGAGATCCTGGAGCCATGGAATGGTGAAGCTGTGGATGGGAACCCAGAAATAAGGTGGACTAGGTGAAACCAGTTACAAGTGTTTAGGAGTAGTTCTGGTGTCTGGAGCCTCAGGTATTTAGTTAGCTTTAGCTCCTGAGGTTCTCCAGCCTTGGCCATGGGTCATTCACTGTCCCTTTTGCCTCTTGCTGTTGGCAAGGGTGATTGGGGGTCCCAAGAACCGTGGCTCCACTATGACAGCAGCAGACTGAAGTATCATCTTTGAAATTCACTGCTGGCCTGGTAACTCCACAATCTTAGGCATTGAAATGACCTTGGGAAGACCCTAACTATGATGCTTTCTGTAGCTTGTAGAGCAGTAATGAGCTAGGTCTCTGCTCTCTTTCCTCAGAGTAGCAGATCTGGAATGTCCAAAGTTCATTAATGCCTATAATGCAGGGCCTCATAGTCACAATGGCTCAACTTAAACTTTCGCTTTTTTGTATTTATAGTGATCTGCTAAATTTATACTATGTTCTCATATTTCCATCCTCAGGACAGGTGGTGGCAAATGTCCTGAGAATTCAGAGATGTGTAGTAATGTGCCTCAGTAGAGGAAGGCTTCCCAAACAGCTGGTGAACTTCTGTGTATTATACAGAACAGTGCAAAATAATTTCTGAACATACTTAATTATTTATGTGGCACCCTTGCTCACAGACTAGGTTTGTGAGAACAGCCATAGAGTTTTGAAGTCTGAGAAAAATGAAGCAAATATGAAAGTGCTATCAAGGCCAGGGTAAAAATTTGTATAGGACAAATTCCAGAAAGGCCTACCTGTTAAATTTTCATTGAAAATGCTGAAATTTAGGCATTTGCATGGACATTTATACATGATATCCTACTAATGGAAAGGAATAGGGGTGTCATCTCTGAATTAAGAGCTGATTTAGTAGCTTGGTTGTTCATACACAGTTTAAATATGGAAATTCTCTTCAATGGATTTTATTAAGTGGTGTAAAGGGGAAGTTTTAAATAGAAATTTTGCAGTGATATCAATAGTTAGGCATAAAGAGTTTTCTGCTGAGAATGGATCAGAAGAGTGTGGAAAGAATGTGGAAGTGATTGACAGGATGCAGGAAGCCAATAGCAGGACATACAACAGAGAGGGTCTTCACTGAAAGTCCGGTAGTTCTTAGAGTAAGTATGAAGTAAAGTTGGGTTCTGATTGCTTACTTGAGGTGACCCACACCAGCTTTGGCAACAATCAGCATTTCACATCCCTGTCAACCAATGAATTTTGTGTTCCATGCTTGAGATCTAATTTGCATTATCATAATTATGCCCCAGTGTCATGAAGGTAAAATTTGTGGTTTTTTTTTGTTCCAAGGATTGAACTCATGACCTATGCTTTCCAGGCGGGCGGTGATGCCACTGAACTAAATACCCAACTATGAAAGTATTTTCTTTGTAGTACGGAAGACAACCACATTGTTTCTCAGAAAGTGTTGAATATTGTTGGAATTTTTCTGTATTATATGGCTATAGTTTTTAAAAACAAACCAAAGCTGTCTTATGCAGTCTCTTTTCAAGTTTCACTTTGTCTGTGGGATGTCTCAGTCAGGGTTTCTCTATTTTAGACAGCTCTGAAACTTAGGATAGCCCCAAATTCAAGGAAGAACTCCTTCACCCGCCTCCCAAGATATACTTCTTATATCTCAATGGACAGTGATCACTGGGTGACAGTGAGCTATAATTTACAGCTTGGGCCTGGTTTCATTGTTTATACATATTTTTAAAATATAGCTGTTTTCCACTAACATTTGTGTTATTAGTTATGTACCATATTGGATGTTATTTATGTTTTGTTCTATGAAACCAAATTCATGTTTCAAAATGCTGCTGAAGTATATTAAGAACAAAGTATTCACTGGCCTAAATGAGATTTGAGGGGACATCATCTATAGTCTATCAAAGTGATTGATGAGATGTTTTTTTCTTTTTTTTTAAATTTTGAAACTGGTAAAATAAAACAGAACAAGGCACAATAAGGCAAACTCAGATCATACTGTGAAATTGGTACACAACTTCACAACAGGTTACTGGGATAACAGTAATAGGTATCACAGTATATTTCATTATCTTTATAATAATTGTTCTTCAATCACATATATCAAAATGAGATGATATACAGAACATTATAGAACTTATCAAAACACAACATTGAATAGAGCAATACCATGATTCAGAATAGAGCAAAACAGTATTAAAAATATTTGCCTTCAAAGAGATAGTAGAAGGAAGTCCCCCTTATTTGTTATTTTCAACTTCCCAGAAGACACTCAGATTTGTGATTGCCATTTGCTAACGGGGGTGGGGGTGACAGGAGAAGAGGGGTAGGGGAAGTGGGATGTTTGATTCTAGGCCATGCATCAGTAGGTTCACTATTGCTTAGTAGGGAGACTGGCTGGTTGTTTGGTTTCACAGCGTCCGAAGTTCCAACATGGCACGGATCTCAGGAGCTGTTGCTGGTTCACGCCCTGGATGGGCTGCAGTCTGCCACACTGCCACCACTTACCAGGGAAGGCAGGTGCTTGCTTGGCTTCCCAGTTGATTGATGGGATATTTATCTGCCTCTGTGCTTTGTGGACGCTGGTCCTGCAGGCTTCTCACTGTGAGCTCTGCTTTAGAGACAGTACACAGAGAATATTGGAGTGACTCAGCACAAGAATCAGTGCTCCTATTTCACTGTTACATTAGCAGTGAGTTGCAATCTAGCATCAAATTTGCTGTATTCAAAAATGTGTATATACACAAAATTAATGACCAAGACATGGATTTAAATTTGAAGAAATCAGTCTTCATTCAGCCTTTTTGTTTGGTTTTATGTAAGTTTAGTTTTGTTTTATTGAGACAAGCTTTCTGTATGTATATCAGCTGTACTTGAACACCCTGTGGAGCCTAGAATTGCCCTGAACTCACCAAAGCCATCCTGTCTTAGCCTTTTGAGATTCAGATTTGTAGGGAAGAATTTAAGATATCTCAAACCTGGAATCTCAACCTTCCTTTGAGAAATACATGTATGATCCTTTAGGAGCCAGTGACCTTTGAGGATGTGGTCATGAACTTCAGCAATGAGGAGTGGGCTTTGCTGAGTCCATCCCAAAAGAACCTCTACAGAGATGTGGTGGGTGAAACCTTTAGGAACTTGACTGCAATAGGTAAGGATGAAATACTTTTGTCACTCATGCTGTCAGAATATTGTTTATTGCTCATTATTGCTGTTTCATTAAAAGAATGTGAAAATATTTTTAAAAATAGCTCAGATCTGGACCCATTATATCATAAATCTAAACAAAATCTATTAATTTGTATGTATTATACTAATGAGCACTGGTATTTCTATGTCTACAATTCAGGAAGACTTGGGGATATCCAGGAAGCTAAAAAAGAATGCAAGATTTACTGGAGATACTTAAGGTAATTCACACTCACAAGGAGAAGGAATGTTCCTGAGTAATTAGTAAGCAGAAGAATGGCAGCCAAAGAAATGAGGCACCATTCAATTTAATGTCAGCAATATTCTCTGAAGATGTATAAGCTAGGGTATGTGTAACGAGGGAATTAAATCATGAAAACATATGACATTGCATATAGACATGTATGAAAGGCATACACTTTGAGTTATGATATTCTGCCTTCAGTTTTTCTACCCATGTATACATGTGAGTACAACACATTCATTATCTAAAAATTACTAAGATTGCAATAGAATTTGAAATAAAATGGAGTGCTCATGTTTCCAAGCCATGCCCTAGAGAATCAGCCATTCTAATTAAAATTCTGAGTAATCTGTTGGAATGTTAGTGCACTCATTCAGAATATCAGTATGCAATTTTCTCTAGAAATTGATCCCCTCATACTTGTCCTGGATATATTTTTAAAAACTCAAAATCTGCATAAAATTTAGATACATGCTTACTCATATACAATGCAAATCAAGTTATAACAGATCAGGGCTTGAAGAAGCTTAGCTATCTATCACTGGACTTGTGGAGAAGGAAAATATTAATAGACTCTGTGATTGTGCATTCTTGTAAACCCAGCAAACTAGGAATCAGATTTTGCAGAATGGCAAATTCAAGTTCAAACTTCACAGCTTAATGATCAGTGAAAATCTCTAAAAACAGATTTAAAAAAAAGCTATAGATGTTATGCTAATATGTGTTGCTCATTCCCAGCATGGAAAAGAAAAAAAGTGTGTTATATAATCTCAAAAAATAAACAGTATAATGTCATTTGCCATAAGAAATAGATGGGTCTTTCTCCTAGCAATTCAGTGAAATAGCTGAGCTATAAAACCTAAAAGGTCACAGCGTTTCTTTTAGATGAGAAAGCAAAGTATAAATTGTGGAATGAAATGAAAGAGAGTCGATAGAGAAAAGTAAGACTGACCATATGGAAAAGGGAACTACAGGTTAAGGACAGAAGCGAGATTGTGATGGGGAAACATATCAGAATGATCTGTATGTGATACACATATGTACCCATGCCCAAAGTGAAGCTAAAGATTCTACATTTCAAAAGGTACCAAATTTTAAGATTTCTAAATGTGTACCAGTATTTTGGGAATGGTTGTTTTCAACATATCTTACAAGGCCATTCTGTTGCTTCATGGTCAGAATTTCTTAGCAGCCATTAAAAACAGAACTTGACATTAATGCAGTCATTAAACTGAGACCCATTTCACTGTCAATTTTTCTTTTTTTTTTTTAATTTAATGTAAGGAAAGACTAAACAAAATACAATAAGTAGAAATAATACTACTTTTAAAGTGAAAATAAACAGTAAGAAATCGCAAGACGATGATTACATATGGTGTTCATAAAAATAGTTAATCAAATACAAAAGTGAAACATGAAGTGGGGATTCAAACAGCAAGACTGCAAACAGTTTTGTTCAACTCTCCAAAAAAAGCTTAGTAATATCGTTATCAATCCTATATGTGATGTTTTTCTTTACAGAAATGACAAGCTAGGAAAGTCCTATGGACATACATCTTGGAATCAGTGTAAAGAAGTATTCCTTTGTACTGCAGAAGGTAATGTGAATGTGAAAGAAACAGAAGCACACCACAATGTTAAGATCCACAAAAAATATTGCAGTGGAGGGAAACCCTATGTATGTCAGCAATGTGGAAAAGGTTTCATCAAATATGGATATTATAAGCAACATGAAAGAATTCACACTGGAGAGAAACCATATGTATGTAAGCAATGTGGCCAAGCTTTTAACAGAAGTGCATATTGTAAGGTTCATGAAAGAATTCATACCATAGAGAAACACTATGTATGTAAGCAGTGTGGGAAAGCTTTTAACACACGGGCAGATTGTAAGAAACATGAAAGGGTTCACACTGGAGAGAAACCCTATGTATGTAAGCAATGTGGGAAAGCTTTTAACACACAGGGATATTGTAAGAAACATGAAAGAATTCACACTGGAGAGAAACCCTATATATGTAAGCAATGTGGAAAAGGTTTCTTCATCTCTGGTCATTGTAAGCAACATGAAAGAATTCACATTGGAGAGAAACCCTATATATGTAAGCAATGTGGGAAAGCTTTTACCACACATGGACAGTGTAAGGCACATGAAAGAATTCACACTGGAGTGAAACCATATGTATGTAACCAATGTGGGAAAGCTTTTAACACACGGGCAGACTGTAAGAAACATGAAAGGATTCACACTGGAGAGAAACCCTATGTATGTAAGCAATGTGGGAAAGCTTTTAACACACGGGGATATTGTAAGAAACATGAAAGAATTCACACTGGAGAGAAACCTTATGTATGTAAGCAATGTGGAAAAGGTTTTACCATCTCTGGACATTATAAGCAACATGAAAGAATTCACACTGGAGAGAAACCCTATGTATGTAAGCAGTGTGGGAAAGCTTTTACCCAACTTGGACATTGTAAGCAACATGAAAGAATTCACACTGGAGAGAAACCCTATGTATGTAAGCAATGTGGGAAAGCTTTTACCCAACATGGACATTGTAAGCAACATGAAAGTTCACACTCAAGATAAAACCAGTGTATATAAGTATCATGAGAATTTTTGAGCACACGTACATATTGCATGATGCATGAAATCTTCACACTGGGCAGAAAACTTATATATGTAAGGAATGTGGGAAAGGTTTCAGCAGAAATGCTCATTGTCCAATACATGAAAAAAATCACACTGTTGAGGAACCCTGTGTATGTGAAGAATGTGGGAAAGCTTTCACCACATATGGATATTGTAAAATACATCAATGACTTTATACTGATAAGAAACCCTATGTATAGAACAATGTGGCAAAGCTTTTACTGCATAGCGTCATTGCAAAACACATGAAAGAATTCACACTGGGAAGAACCACTGGCTATGTAAGCAAGTGGAGACACTTTCAGCAGCCATATTGTAAGTGAAATATGTGAAAAAACTCACACAAGCGATAAATTCTATGTGTTATGGGAACCCTCAGCACACATGATCATTGTTACATATCTGAAAGAGCTCACTTTATTCTATGTGGATTAACAATGTGAGAAATATGGCAATTCATGTTTGTTGTTAAATACATAGAAAAAACATCACTCTTCAGACAGTGTAGATCTAAGTTTACTTTAAAAATCCCTAGGAGAGCTGAAGAAATAATCAATACAGAATTTTGATGTCAATATTTCTTCACAAATTTTACAGAAATGACAAATCTGAGGAGAATCTCTACTCAAGTGCACATGTTGTATGGTTTTCAGTTAATGACTTGTACCTCTTTAGATTTTTTAAAGTGTCTTTGTGCTTCAACACGGCATCTTGTAATTAAACATGGTAAACTGAAATGGGATTTTCAATTTCAAGTATGGATAGTGTCTATGTCCTTAATATTTTGTCTTTAAATATTTTATATTTTTGTGAATTTTAATGTTGTTTATTTAAAGAGAAAAAAACAGAAAAAAGTGTAGAAATAATACAGAATTTCAGAAAAATAATAAGATATCACTAGTTGATTTGTTACATATTGTCATCTTAGAAGTAGTTGTTCAAGATATAAAATTAAAGCACACAAAGTGATATTCCAATAATGACACTGCGAACAGTTAACTTCTATGATCCAACAAAAACTTATTAATATGCTTATCTGTCCACACTTGTATTTTTCTTAAAGAGTGTAAGATTAAACATGACAAAACAGAAGATAACAGTTCATAAGAAAATAGTTTTTCCCATCTTCACATGCATTAAATATATACTGAACACTATAGATCTAAGCAAATAATTACAGAATGATGCAGGCTTTTTTGGTCTTCAAGACTTATTTTGAGGAAGTCGAAGATGACTACGATAATGTCTCTCATTCTCTTCGTAATAGCTGTCTTTATCTTTATGTATGCTCAAATTGATCATAAGAAACTAGACTAATATCACTCTGAACAGTGAATAATAGCATTCTGAGAAGGAGAAAGTTGAGGAATTGCCTAATAAAAGAAGGCAGAGGACATTGTTAAAAGTGATTAGACTCTGTTCCATTCTATATGATAGTATCAAGTTTGAAGACATAGGCAACTACTTTGAAGACAATAAGATTCACTAAGATACCCATTCTTGTTTGACTATTGTCTTCTTTGGAAGTCCTGTAATGTTTACAATGCCTAAGTTTTATTGGTCTTGTTCTCTACTGTTTTGTCCAACTTTATAATATCTAATGAGATAGACAATTCTTTTTAAGGAAACAAGGGACAACGTTGATAACCATTGTTGATAAACTTGTACTCTGTTCTACACCATGTGCTATGTCTATCCTTGGTATTGACTGACAGCTTTGTTTTGCAATATTTGACTTCTTCCCCCCCCAAAAAAAAGTAATAAGCACTAAGGAGTAATAAAATCCAAAATGTGTAAATTTTGTTGTAAAAAAGAGAGGGGAAAAAAAAGAAGAAAAAGAGCTCTAACGGATGTAACAGCAAGTGTGTTTAGGGGTGTTAAATAGGTGACTTTTTCAATGTTTTTGGATCATTGAACACAGCTGTTTGCAGTCTCCCTGTTTGAATGTCCACCTTGTATTCTTTGATACTGTGATTTGAGGAACTATTTTCAAGATGATAATATGTAATCTACTAACAGGTGATTTCTTACTGTTATGGTTTTTTTTGTTTTTTTGTTTGTTTGTTTGTTTTTTTGTAGTTCTGTATTACGTGTACCCTTACACCACCTTGGTTTGTTTTGTGTTTTTCTCTTTTTCCTCTTAAATAAAAAAAAAGATTTAAAAAAAAGTGTATCGGGATTTAAAAGCTACGGTAGTCTTATTGCTCTGCTTAGTTTGATTACATTTTGTTCTGGTCTGTCTATTTATATTAGACTTGAGCACACAGAGAGATAACCCCAAAACAGCAGGTTATACCATGGTAACTATCCTTAATTTCCTATTAACTTAAACTGAAACCTGGTATTACTTACATTGTCCTCTATGACTGATCTTCTTTGAAGCTGTTTTGTTTGAATGATATTTGGCCTTCACTGAATTTATTCACATTTGCTTTGCTTACTGGTATCAAGTCCAAGAGTAGAGGCAACTACTCTGAAGATGACAATATGTAAAAGATATTCCTTGGGGGGCTGTGGATTTAGCTCAGTGGCTTAAGCAACTGTCTGGCAAGTGTGAGGTCATGAGTTTGATCTCCAGTACCAAATAAATAAATAAATAAAAGATATGCATTCCAGTTTTGATTATTTTTTATTTAAAGAGAAAAAAGAAAGGAAATAAAAAAACGAAGCAGTAAAAATGTACACATACTACATAATTTCAAGAAAAAAATACAGTAAGAAATCACTAGTTAATAGGTTACTTATATATCAGCTGAGCGGAGGCCAGCCCTGCTGCTGCCTTTCCCACCCGGGGCCCATACTATGACCCCTGTGGACTGGAAGGTGTGCATTCAGCTGAGCGGAGGCCAGTCCTGCTGCCACCTCTCCCTCCCAGGGCCCAACTACCACCTCTGGGGACCGGAAGGTGTGCATCCAGCTGAGCAGAGGTGACTCTGGTCCGGCCCTGATACTGCAAATTGAGGAAGCTTTAGGTCTACCTGAGAGGAGCCTGGAAAGCCTCTTTTAATCCAGGGGCTCTGCTGCCCAAGGAGGGAGCTACTACAAAAGGAGTCCCAAGAGCCCAGGACATAAGAGTCAATTTACAACACAACCAGGGGAAACTCTGAAACAACACTTGAAACACAGTAATATAGGGAAATGACAAAATGAAAGACCAAAATGCAATCTCAAACACAAACCCATCCCCCCAAGAAAGCCTAGGAGCCATGTACATAGAAGAAAATACATGCCATATACCTGAAATACCTGAAACAATAGTAACAGAAATAAAGAAGCAGCTCTGGGAAGCTTTGAAGGAATTCAAACTAGAAATAATATATCAGGTAAAAAAAGAAATAATAAAAGAAATGAAGGAGATGCTGAACATATCTAAACAAGACACAGCTAAACAATTGGAGGAACTAAACAAAAGATTAGAATCTCTGGATGAACAATATAAGAAACAAACAGAATATATAAAACAGATGCAAAGAGATATACAGGAAATCAACATTGAAAGTTGTAAAAACCACCTGAATGAATGCGAAGATAGAATTTCGGACCTCGAAGACAAGACTGCAGCCAGAGAACAGGAAAGGAAAGATCTTTTAAAAATAACAAGAATCAAGAAATAACAATACAACACCTGCAAGATGATGCAAAGAAAAACAACATCAGGTTGATAAGGATAAATGAAAAAGAAGGAGACAATACAAAGGATGTCAAGAGGATATTTAGAGAAGTAATTGTTGAAAACTTCCCAAACATGAAATTGGAAACTTATATCAGGATCAATGAAGCATGTAGAACTCCAAATAGCCATAACCAAAATAAAACTACACCCAGATATATAATAATCACCATTCCAGAAATTGAACAAAAGTATAGAATATTAAAAGCTGTCGGAGATAAAAGACAGATCACCCATAAAGGAAAACCTATAGAATCACAGCAGAGTTCTCA